TTACACAGCTTGGAAGTTCATACAAGTGGTAACTTGAAAAGGTTACAGAGTTTGCAAAGGTTACAAAACTTCAAAGGCTATGCTAACAATAACTGAAGTTACAAAGTCTGCCAAAAGGTTGCAGAACTTAATGATACAAGTTACAGATCTTACAATCGCATTTGAGTGGAGGCTTTACATAACAGCTTACACCTCTTCGCCCCCTTCCCGCCCCACCCACCACCGCTCATACCTCTTCACTTCCTCCCCTGAGCCTCCCTGCCCACTGGCCAGTCAGCTGCTCACCGCTTGAGTGAGGTCCCCATGTGGGCAAGGGGGGACAGGAAGAGGCAGAACCTCAGGGGGAGAGGACAAGTGGGGTCTCGGGGCGGAGCGCAGATGGGGCCACAGCCAGGGCACCTACCCTTTCAGCGGTGGTGCACTCCAAAGGCAACAGGCTGGCTGTTCGGGGAGGCTTAGCCTCCCTGGCCTCTTATACCCGCCGCCTAAGTATGCCAACATCATAAACCCACCTCAGTGAGAGGCATGGGACATATTCTACTCTCACTAAATAATTGTCTGACCCCCACTATTATTTCCTACAATGGTGAAAATTTAAATCGCTAAACAGCTTTAAAAAACACTTTAAAATATATGTTGATATTATCCTTCAAAATTAAAAATAAGAATTGAATTCTGCCAATCCTACCTGTAAGAGTCAAGAAGCAATTTTCCCCTCAAAGAATTGCATGGCTTGTTCGTTGTACTCGATTCTGGTTTTTTCAGAGTGAAGTGGGGTTGAAGGTAGGATTGGTGATCATCTGAAGCATCAGGTACAGCCACTGCTAGATGCCAATACTAGGCTAGCTCCAATAAACTCTCTGATATAGAGAATTTTCTGATCCCATTTTAGCTGTAATTAGGGTTAAATAATTTAAAGTTAAACTATTAAAGAGCCAAGTACTCATAATCTTGATGGTGTAAATGGAACATATAACTTTGGACATTGTTTTCTGTCAATCACTCTCAAGTCCTTTTCATCCTAGATAAACCCTAAGTATTTGTTTTCATAGCTAATACATTTGTTCATATAGTATGTTAGTAAAATTTCATAATGCTATCCTAATCTCAAGTATATTCTTTCCTTATGTCTCTTTTACTTAAAAAAAATCTGACACATTTAATCTATTTTTCCATAAGAACATACAAATCATACATTTAAGGCAAAATGCCCTCAATAATAACACATGGATGCAAAAGCATCCTGTGATTGCGTCTCTTCTATCCTACTGTAAACTGACTGGCAGTTTAACAGTTGGTTATTTGAAGAGCATCTTGTCGCAAGATAGAAATCTATGCATTTGGAACTGTATTTGTCAAGATCTCATGTCAGAAGTTTGCTTTGGAGCCCTCTAAAGACTAGCTACTGCTCTTCTGTGTTTATTGTCAAAATACTGAGCCAGCTTTTTGGCCAGTGTCAGAGTAGAGAATATGATTCTACTTCAGAATCTTTTTTTGTTTACACAGTTTTTGATACTTACTGTTTTTAAGTGCTATAAATCTTCCTTTAAATGTTCCTACCGCTGAATAAAATCAGCCAGATAAAACAGGAAAAGTGGTTCAGGATGAATAAAGAGGCTAAGATGGTACTTTATATAGTGCCATAAGAGAGTTGGCCTCTAGGTATACCACGAGTATGGGTCTCAAAGGCCTAGATCTTAAATAAATGTTATTTTTTCTTTTATTTTAGCATGAACAAACTAAATGAAAAGAAAACCACTCATTCTCATTTATTGTTAATTTTGTGCAGTGCTTCTGCCAACCTCAAAAGATATTCACACAGCCTGAGTCAGAGAGATTATTATTCCAAATACAGTGACCATTGTTAACCCTACTGGGGAGTTAAGGGATACTATAAAAATACTAATAAATAATAGTACTAAGTGTAGTTTATAAAAGAGTAAGCAAGAGGCACCTGTTAAACCTTAGGGACTCACCATTTTCCTAGAGTTAATGGAGATGCCTCTGTGGGGCAATATGTCAAGAAAGAGGTAAGTTTGTGAACTCTCAGAGGAGGTTGGGACTCATAGCAGGAGTGTATTGTATTCTACATTCTCCACCCCACCATGCCAGGATCCTTGCCCCATCATTGACTTGTAAGCATAACTTGGCCCCTTCACTTTCCTGCCAAGTCCTACCTCTTCCCTCATACTACAAAGCACCAGCGGGTATGTGGGAGCAGGAGAAGATGTCGTAGATGGTTAGATAAACTATGGAGACAAGAGTGGCTGGCCATCTGGTGAGTGAGGGCAATCTGGCACTTTGGCAGAAGAAGCTTCTTCCAATGTTCATCGTACAGGAGCAGTGGGGTTGGGGATGGACTCTAGTTAGAACGAGGAATGAGAGAGAGAATAAGTGAGTGAGTCCAGGTGCAGGGAGAAAGCTGTTGTGGCAGGGAAGGAGGTGAGAGAACCAGGAAAGGAGATGACAGAACTCCAGTCTCCAAGATAACTCTGAGAAAGTCTGGAGGTCTGGGTAAGTCTTCTTGTGGGCTCTCACAAACCATGCTGTTTCTACTCAGTGGAGTCATTTTAAATCATATGGATTAACCTGACCTTCCCATCTTGCAGTTACTATCCATCTCTTAAAAAACAATTATGTGGAAATTAAACATATGTAATAAAAGCACAGCAAATATTAATTATTGTTACTGCAGAAAATAAAGTAATCCCGCTTCATCATTTGGGGCCAGTGTGCACTTGTGACTCTCATTGAAATCAGGCCAGCCCCAGTCAAGGATCCAAGGGCTGAATTTGATTTGATCCTCATCTGCTTTCCTGCCTATTTTGCTAAGGAGAGAGGTATTATATAAATAAAGGCTTTTTGTTTATTTATTTATGTATTTATTTATTTACTTGTTTCCTTTGTGTCCAGGTAATCTGGGTTCCCAGCTGGTTGAGTATAAAGAAGAAATGTACATAACATCTGATTGTGGGAATACCTGGCGGCAGGTAAGGAAGGGGAAATAAGACATTTGAAACTAATTTTGAGCATCAAATTATTATTTTTATTGATTGATTGATTGTAACAACAATTATCACATTTAATGTATTAACTAATTAAGTCTTCTAATCCTGTAGATGTAAGTAGCTATTATTATTCCCATTTTACTTTGAAACTGAGATGAAGGGAGAGATTTTCACAAGCAGTAGTAAGAATTAGGTTCCCAGCTGCTATTGATGTTCAGTAGGAAAAGGGCACCTATTTTGTCCCTTTGAAAATCTCCTCTTGAGTAACTTGCACAAGGATGGTGCAATCCTTCTTTCTTTCTTTCTTTCTTTCTTTCTTTCTTTCTTTCTTTTAAATTATTAGCCTTATTTCAGGATACTCAGAATGTATATACTCAGGAGTCAGACTTAGGATGCTCACATGCAAAGGTTTTGTGCCTGATTAACTAGAAAGGAAAGAACTCTTCTATTTTTCCCAGTTTAAAATTGGTGTCAGGCCTTTTTTTGGCCCAAATGATCTTAATAACAGAATAATAACAACACTTCAAACTTTCCAGTGTTTGAAATCACTTAAATCTTGTGCCCTACATTTGAAATATTTCTTTAGGATTTATGGCTATTGTTTACCATATTTCTTCATAACTAAAAGTTTCTTCTTTACCAGGGTCTGATAAATAATTTTCTTCTACAGAACTAAAGAACTGCCCTCTTTCAAAATGACTGATATCTCCCATTGTTCTCAATGGGACTGAAGATTCAGGAGGCTCTTGGGTGGCCATTTTGCAGGGGTCATCTGTCTCCTATTGTTGTAAATGAAATCTCTGCCTCCTGACAGAATAGGAAGTCAACATTTTCCCTGGCTTGACTGAAATTGGAACCAGTTGGTGATGGTGGCCAGCTTGAAAGATGGCAATTCTTAATGAGTTTTTCTGAAGGGAAAAACTGTATGCCTCATCTTCTGCTGATGGATAAACTTTCAGTTCTGAAAAATAGCAGCCAAAATAAGTGTTCATCCTACATATTTATTTTCAATGGCTACCTGATCAGATCAGCAGAGAGGGCAGGAGGGAGGAGGACATGAGTGTGTGCATGTGCAGGGAATGTAGGAGGTGCAATAGAGATGGGGAAATAGTGGTATGTATGCAAGGAATAAAGAGGATATAGAAAGGAAGGGGAAAATGATGTATGGACGTGCAGGGGTGTGTGAGAAGGTGCAAAGGCAGGGAGAAACTGGAGGGCAGGAGGGAGAGGTAAACCAGAATATACTCTCTCCAGCTGCTTTGCACTGTTCTGGTGAAATAATGTAGCTATAAACCCACTTTCAGTGACCAATATGTGAATGGCATAAAGCAGCCACAGCATACCACCAGTGAAAATAGGCCTTAAGCTGAAATCTTTAAAAATGCTTTAAAGTTGATGCTTCATGTCTTCACATCATTAGAAACATTGCATGGTAATAGGCTCTTCGGCTTTATTTTGTGTTTGTATATGAAAATTCTAATTAAAGAAATTCCCAGTCAAAAACTATATTAAAATTGATGTAAGGTTGAGAGTACATATCAGTAATTTAAGGTAAAATACACTACAGGGTTGATGTTATTAGCCCAATACCAAGTGTTATGATCCCAGGAAATTCAGAGTTAAGGTTAACTTTTTAAAAAAATCCAAACCTAAGATATGGAATGGACAGGCACAGTTAAGGCACCCAAGCAACTCAATCTTTGGATAATCTTAACTGTGCCCTTTAAGGACAACATGAGGGAGAAAATGTGACTTTTAATATTTTGTTTAATGTAATCTGATACAACAAACATGAAAATACCTTAATCATAATCTTACGATAATTGCATGACATCAATTGAGTTTTGAATTTCCTGGATTTACAGTGTTTGGATTTTAGATAATTACAACATCCCTCTATCGGAGGGGTAGCCGTGTTAGTCTGGATCTGTAAAAAGCAACAAAGAGTCCTGTGGCATCTTATAGACTAACAGATGTATTGGAGCATAAGCTTTCGTGGGTGAATGCCCACTTCGTCAGATGCATGCATGCAGACCCATGAAAGCTTATGCTCCAATACATCTGTTAGTCTATAAGGTGCCATGGGATTCTTTGTTGCTTTTTAAACATCCCTGTAATGTATTTTACTCTCAGTTACTCTTTCTTAATTCCATTTAAACACTGCCAGGGATGGGATGATCTAAGAATACCTGGGTCCTGCCTTAATGCAGGGGACTGGACTAGATGACATCTTGAGGTCCCTTCCAGACCTACATTTCTTTGTTGTTTTTTGTCAGGGAGTATTAGATGATGATGATAGAGAAATATTAGAAACCTTCATAGTGTCCAAAGACCAGGTGAGAAGCACTAATAAGAATAGAAATGTGTCACAAAATTATTCTATTTCAATGAAAACAGCTGTTTTAATTGAAAATGCTCTCACTCCAATGTTGAACTGTAACATAATACAATTCTACTGAAGTACAAGAAACAGCAAGAGTGAAACTGAGCACTCTAGTTTCACTTTCCAAGCTGAATACAAATAAAAAGGATTTATTTTTATATACTAGTAATATAGGATGATGATAATAATATACAAAAGGACATTTTAAATAAATAATTATATTATTTTTGTCATGATGATGTTCTTTTGCTTCAGAAGTTGAGATTTTATGCCTAATCATTTCTAGAGTTTTAGCAATGGGAATTTATCTCCATGCTTAGGGGTTACCAGTATTACTTATGACATCTAATGCTGCCATTTACCAAAATTCTGTATTTCTTTCTGGTGAGAAAAGGGCTGGCATTCAGATTCTCACTATTTGCATTTGTGGGACACTTAAGCTAATGAGATGAAACTTGGTTTATCAAGCCTTTTAGGTGATTTTTTACTAGATATAAACTCGGACGTGACCTCTAATCCCCATTACAACAGTCAAAATGAAAACTGCTACTGATTTCTTTATTTTAATTAAAACTGTCATGAAGGCTTTGCAAAGATCTTTATAAATCTTCACGTTGGTGACTAGAAGAAAGAACACAGATTCTTTTGTATATTTTATATCCCCATTATTCATTGCGATCTGCCTGTTCTTCATGAAGGCAGCTATACATTTCCTTTCTCCAGTGAAATTCATGAAGCTAAAAACAAAACACGAGTCAATTACAGGATACTGCAATTATTTATATGACTAATTACTGGTCTCTAGGGCTGGCACAAGCAGAGCCTACATTTTGTCACAGTTCATTGGATGGGTTCAGACCACTGACTTGGAAACTGGGCAGTTCCAACTGCTGACTGCCAGTCACTGCCCTGCACCTTTGTCACATCCCTCACTGCGCATCCCCAGCATTGCTGCAAAGCCATCTACAGGCTCTCATAGAGGAAAAACAAAATTGGATTATGAATCATGGATAACAGAGAGACTTGGAGTAGTATAGAAAGTTAAACGCACTGGAGCAAGGAATAAGGCCAGTACAGGGAATAAGCTAATACCAGCAATAATAAAGAAATATTGGCAATAGGAATTGAATAGAAAGATAAGAAATAAAACTAAGAAACTTACTTGAAATAGAAGCAATGCGAACACAGCTGTGACAACTGGCAAAGGAAGTGTAAATAAAGCAAAGGGTATATGAGGATTAGACAAACAAGTTAGCACAGTTATTTGGGACAATTATGTCTATCACGCCTAACAAAACAGAGTAGTATAATGTGAAAGATGAACATGATATTAAATCAAATAGGTAGTAACCTAAGGATCTTCATGGAAATGAAAACCAGCTTTAAATGGGATTCCTTCCTCAGTCAGGCTTTATAACAGTTTTTGGCCTCATTGAGCAGTTTTCTGCTCTCCATTTTTTTTAAACTGCGGCTGGCCTGTCTAGTATTGAGGGTGATTTTACTATTTTTCTGCTTTGTAGTGTAACACCAACAGACCCCGGTCATTGGCAGGCGGGATAAACCCTAGGACCTCTGGAGCTTAGTGCATGAGCCTCTACCGCATGAGCTAAAAGCCAACCGGCAGGACCGGCTCCAGGGTTTTTGCCGCCCCAAGCAGCC